GTGAACCTCGATGTGCAGATTTCGTGGCAGGCGCATTGCTTTGTGAACCTCCATGTGCAGATTTCGTGGCAGGCACAGCACTTTGTGAACCTCCATGCTTCTCCGAACCTTGACCGGAAGCTCCGCGGAACGACGGTTGCGAGACGGTGTCGGGTCATGCTCGGATCATTCTCGGAATCGTCCCTCCATTGAGATTAGAGGATACAGTGGTTTTCTTGAAGTGCAGATTTCGTGGCAGGCACAGCACTTTGTGAACCTCCATGTGCAGAGTTCGTGGCAGGCGCATTACTTTGTGAATCTCCATGTGCAGATTTTGTGCCAGGCACAGCATCTGTGGAGCTGGAAGCTGAGAATTGGGGACTTTGTAGTGCAACTTTAGTATGCGGAGTGTCTGCGGAGCTGGAAGATCAGAACTGGCGACCTTTGGTACGCGGAGCAATCTGTGGAGCTGGAAGCTGAGAACTGGCGACTTTGTAGTGCAGCTTTAGTGTATCTGGCGAGCTGGAAGATGAGAACTGGCGACTTTCTAGTGCAACCTTACTACGCGGAGCAATCTGTGGAGCTGGAAGCCGAGAACTGGCGACTTTGTAGTGCAACTTTAGTGCGCGGAGTATCTGGGGAGCTGGAAGATGAGAACTGACGACTTTGTAGAACAACTTTAGTACGGGGAGAAATCTGTGGAGCTGGAAGCTTGGCGACTTTGTAGTACAACTTTAGTACGCGGAGTATCTGGGGAGCTGGAAGATGAGAACTGGCGACTTCCTAGTACCACTTCGGTGCGCGGAGTATCTGGGGAGCTGGAAGCTGACAACTGGCGACTTTGTAGTGCAACCTTAGTGCGCGGAGCAATCTGGGGAGCTGAGAACTAGCGACTTTGTAGTACAACTTTAGTACGCGGAGTATCTGCGGAGCTGGAAGCTGAGAACTGGCGACTTTGTAGTGCAACTTTAGTGCGTGGAGTATCTGCGGAACTGGAAGCTAAGAATTGGAGACTTTCTAGTACAACTTTAGTGCGCGGAGCAATCTGTGGAGCTGGAAGCTGAGAACTGGCGACTTTATAATGCAACTTTAGTACGCGGGGCAATCTATGGAGGTGGTAGCTGAGAACTGGGGACTTTGCAGTACAACTTTAGTAGTACGCGGAATATCTGGGGAGCTGGAAGATGAGAACTGGCGACTTTGTAGTGCAACTTTAGTACGCGGAGTATCTGAGGACCTGGAAAATGAGAACTGGCAACTTTGTAGTACAACTTTAGTACGCAAAGCATCTGCTGAGCTGGAAGATGAGAACTAGCGACCTTTAGTACGCGGAGCAATCTGGGGAGCTGGAAGCTGAAAACTGGCGACTTCTGTATTTTGAGAACTGACGGTGGTTGCTTCGCTTTCGCTCAATTGGTCGGTTCCAACTTGTTTTGTCAAAGAACATCGCAGCTCGGCGAATCAGCCTGCCACATGCCCTTTTCCTATAGGTTTATTCTTTTGGAAGCTTCCGCCGCCGGCTTGCCCGGGAACTACTTGTACTTATTTTAAAAAATTACCATTTTTTCCCCAAATAGTGCTCCGCACTAAGGGGTTCTTACGGTAAGAGTTAAGGGCCGGGTTTAGATCAGGGTTCGCGCGTGGGGTCCCGGTATTTTGCGTGGGCCGGCTCGCGCAAAAGTTACTTTTTGAATTCCTCATGTCCATTTCTACTGCGCAGCCTCGCATAAAATGGGTGTCGCGGTTTTCGCGCTTCCGGGACAAAGCTCTCGTGCAGGTGCCGTGCTCGTTTTCGGACATGAAGTGCATTTTGTGTGGCAGGCGCAAGGAATTCGACACGTTGGAGCCTCGAAAAGGTCATTTTACGTAGCAGATGCAAGGAATCGGAGACTTTACAAATTTCGTGGCAGGCGCAGTGTTTTGTGGACGTTGCAAAAACGTTAGTAGGCGTGTATCATTCGCAGGACTGAATCTGGAAACGCAAATTTCGGGGCAAGTGCAGCACTTTATGCATCTCGATATGCAGATTTCGTCGCAAGCACAGCACTTTGTGAATCTCAATGTGCAGATTTCGTAGCAGGCGCAATACTTTGGTGAATCTCGATATGTAGATGTTCTTAAAGGGTTTTGTTTACATACGCGTCTGTAATCATAGCTTTTTTTTTACAACGACCTTCAAGCCATACTACTCTAGCATTTTTAGCATTACGTTGCTCGCACTCTCCTCCTTACAAACTCACGCCTAGTCCCTCTCTAAACTTTCACATCCTTCCGCATCTATTACTCTCATCTATACACTCCTCTTGTATGGATCCTATCATATTTATACTTTCATCTGTGTATTCCTTCTTTCCTTCCACGTAATACCATTTTCCATCTATTCCTCTTTACACTATTTAAAGTTCCTTGCCGGTGAAATTTACTAAAAAACGACCTATCCAATTATTTTTCTAATTTTACAAATTATTATTCCTAAAATTATATATTTTAAAATATAATCTATTTATACCTAATATTATTTCATTTAAGATTTGCAAAAAAACAATAATATTTGTTTCAATTTATTACCGCCCACAATAAGTCCCTTTCTTTCTATTTTATATTTTAAATTATTTAATAAATAACAATATTCAAAAAATATATACGATCCACGTGCTTTGAAATCGAAGAACGCAAGCAATCAAACAGAGAAACAGATAATTAATGATGATGATGATGACGATGACGATGAAGATGAGGAGCATAAATGAATAACAGCAATTCTTTGGGAGGGACTTTTCATAGGAGGAGCTTCATGGAATAGAACTGACCACCACACCCACAAACCAAATGATACGCACGTGACTGCGCCAAGCTTCGCCATGTTACAGCTCGTCACATCACAATCATGACGTTGCACTTCACATCAAGCCGCAACTCTCTCCATCATCGCAAACTACAACAGAAGTCATGTTGTCTTTTCATCGCACCCTTCACCCATAGCTATCCCTTTTGAAACTTCCGCCCATCGAGCTTACCGGTATTCAAATTGACTTTGATTTATGTTATGATTCAATAACATCCTTTCTGTTCTCAATGCATTGGCAATGTTGGCTTCATGGCGCCATCTGCTTGGCAGACACAAGATGTGCTCATGATGCCCTTTGGCTGAATTTGCTCCACAGGTGAGATGCACTCTATGAGTGATTCGAGCCCGCGAAACATGCATCTCAAACGAACATGAGCTTTCATCGAATGATGCGTTTGAGCTTTCAAACAATCAAAGCGCGTTAGAACCAGCATGCAGGGACCACCCAGTACTAATATGAACTCCTCATGTGCCATCACGACAACCATTTTGATGTGACTTTGAGGCCCAAGGGTGTGAGGAAGGAAGGCTTTCTGGTTCATGACAAAATGCAAAGGGTCTTATTTGAAGTGTGCAGCAAGCACACGAATATTGACAAGGTGGACTTGATGGAACTGCTTGTCACCTTGTTCAGAGGATGCCCAATGAACTGTCTGCTCTGAATGTTTGAGACGCCCAGCTGATATGCCACCCAGCCGCGCAAGTCGGATTGAGTGGCAGCTAACATCCAGGTGGAATTTCTGGCAGCATTTTCCAAGAACTGTTGACATGGTGAAATGGTGTTGAGAAAACAAAAGCAAGCGGAAAGTCGACAACTGGGAGGACGCAGCTCTGTCCCCACAAAATTTGCTCCACAGTCACACAGTACTCCCTATCCAGCAACCAGGAAAAGGGCAAACACTGCTGGTAGCTGCAAGCACTGCCTAAATTCATGATTGGAGCGAGCGCAATGGTGGAGTCATGTTGAGCTTGGACCTGTCCTCACACACTTCCCCATGCCATTCAGACACGGCTTCTTAGCTGTTGACCTCAAACATGCTGGGCTTTGATCTAGAATCAACTTTCATTGGTTAGGATCTATCATTTGGCCACATCCTTCCACCAGGCTCATGCCACACTAGGAATACTCTACGCAGCGTTCGTTGCAGGGCCTCCTCTGATTCCTGACTGCAGCCGAGACGAAAGCTACCAAGCGGCAACTAGGTTTGTCCATGTGATATTTTAGGGCATCAAGCTTACTTGAACGCGATTTTGGCAAAATGGTAGACCCACATTCCTGGCAGGGTGAACCCAGAGTGGCCAATGAACGCTGTTGCTCTCGTGTGAGGTGTGTCTAATTGTTAGCAAGCTCACAGAGACTGGGCGTAGCTCAAATCAACACTGGTGCACGGTGGTGCCATGGGCACACCGCGGCGAATTCCACAAACTCACTTCCTGTGATCTTGGGAGCCACGCCCATTTCAAAGACTTGAAGGCATTAGACAAAAAGCCCTTCCTACCCTCTAGGGCCAAAGGTTTGGTCGGCCCAATGGGCATCACGGCAGCCACACAGGGCACCGACCCCGAAGCCAGCAGTGTAGCACTTCGCGATCCCAAATACTTGTTTGCTCGCGATCTCAAAACACTTATGGGCTTGTGGCTTGATGCATACAGCTAATGAGTGTGACAGCAGTTCCTGTTTGGCTCGAGGCTACCACATTCATGAGTGTAAGTGGATTATTTCACGTAAGCTTCCAGAACCACTTTACTTCGTACCGATCATTGCTCTCTCTCTCTCTCTCTCTCGCTCTCTCTCTCTCTCTCAGACAACTGGAGAGTACATGAAAGAAAGCTAGACAAACAACCTAGTCTTTGACATCTAAATACTGGTGGGCTTGACGAAACTACTGGTTTCAGTGTGGCGCTTTGACATTCAAAACACCATTCTAGCCCGAAAGAACGTCTTACCGAGGGCCCTGTATTACCCTGTATCATTTTGGAACTAAATTCCAACTGTACTTCCTTGCATTTCTGTGTCTCACAACCTCAATACAACACTGCTGTTTCTGTGCGGCTTGCGCACGAAGACACCAAAAGACACTATACATGCACTAACGAATACAGCGGCAGGACCCGTTGACGTTGAAGGACGCGTGCGCAGGCGGAATCGACCCACTCCTCAGCTGGCAGCAGTTTGGTGTTGGTTTTGGCTGACGGAAGTGAGGTGCTCTTTTCTCACCCTTTCCCTCAAAGGCTATTGAAACCGAAGAATTCGAGAAAATCTCTAGGAAGATCTTGGAAGTCTTCCTTTCACCCCACCAGACCGATCCCTTAAACAGCTTGCCCTCAGCACAATCAGGAAAGAGCATCGGGTTGCCAGCAAGCAAACAAAACCCTTGATTTATAACCCTGGAGCTGCCCCAGATCCATCGCGGCCAGCATTGCCAAGTATTGAGGTCCGGAGAGCCACAGATTTCAGCTTGGCTCAGTCCTCCAGACTTGCCTAAACTCCCCCAAAACACATCTCCTCGAGCCACAGCATTTTTCTCCAAAGTCTCATTGAAGTTCGTCTTCGCGAGGCAAATGATAAAAGCCACCAATCCATCGCCACCCACGCCTCTCTGCAGCCCAAAGAACCAATAGAACTAGCACCTCTAGGGTCTTGGACCGGTCTGAATGCCTCTCCTTCCCCAAATGCGCTGCAAAATGGCGCCCGTTCACTGAATGTGTTGCATCATGGGTGCGCATGCATGTTGTAGAGAAAGATTGGAATAGAGAGAATACATCTGAGGACCCAGTACGAACTGTTCCAAAAGCCAAATGACCCTCTTGATCTGTGAGGTCAAAGGGTCTTCTGGATTCGACTCTACATGATTTCACGGACCAAATCGCTTCCAAACCCACGACGCAGGGATGACAACAAAGGCCGACCGGTTTTGTTGCACATGGCAGCCAGGAATCCTGGCGCTACCGTCTTTTCAATCTCTTTGAACATTTTTTGAACCTGGCCCATGGAACCTAGCCATGTGAACCTAGCCATGTGAGTGGGCGCTCTATTGAGGATAGTGCAGGCCCAATCAATGGGGGAGTTTTAAGTTTGAGACATCACACAAGCCCTGGTATCTCATATTTCTATCCAATACGATGGGGGTGCCCTGTGCCCCAACAAAAACAACACAAAGCTCTTTTTGGGAAGCAATCCCCAACGTACACACAAAACTCAGTGGAAACATCTTCCTCAAAACTTCCTTCAGCGAGCCCAAAAGTTTCCCGATGAAGAAAAGAAAGAACCAACTCTAAAGATTTAGTCTGTTCGTTGCACGAAAGAATACTCATGCAGTGGAGCTCGGTCTGTTCGCTTCCAAGGCACCGAAAGACTCCATGGGGCAACTGGCCACCCAAATGCCACCTGCCAATGGAGCAACCCAAAGCGCACCTGTTGAAGTTTGCGACCACAAGTGGAAAGGGCATAAAGTCTGGCTTGTTTAGAATCGCTCATGGCCCAAGTGTCCCTCCCCGCGTTGGAGCTACAAGCATAACAATTGTTTTCCTTGGCAAACCTCAAAATGCTGTTTCTGTAAGCCGCTGTTAACACCCGCGCTGCTCAACATACAAGGTTCGCTCTCTATGTGGGAGGCCACGACAAACAGCTGGTTTTCCCCAAAGCAGTTATGAATGACCTATACCTGTGGATCTTCCGTCAGTTCCTCTGGAAATTGTCAGCAAGAACAAGGCCTTCTGCATGAGCACCTTTGATACAGCGCTGAGGGTCGAATCCTCGCACGACCGACAGGACCAGTCGTGGACCGACAGGATGACCTGGGGAAAGCATCGCTGCCTTGCATACAGCGAAGCAGCTTTTCGTTCAGAAACGGTTTCATCGGCTTGAGCTACCAACAGAAGAAAACAAGAGATACCATGACACCAAATTTTCTCACTCCAGGTTCTCAGTCGCTCGGAAGCCATGTTTTGCCACACCCAGCAAAGGACGAAACAGCACGAAAAATTAATTCTTTCCGAAACCTGTCTCTCTCGTGCGAGAGGCAGTGACCTAGAAGGACAAATGGTAGAATTTCACATTGGAATGAACAACAAAAACAACCCAATCTGAAAGAAGATGAAATAAACCGACAAAAACAATGGGACTTGAATATGTATTTTCTTAGACGCGGGAATGAACAAACCACAAAAGCGACACCCTCTGTCCATGCTCTGCGATGGATTGCAACCTCAGGGAGCACATTGCAGGACAAACAGCAGAACAAGGCCCTATTCTTGGAATCATCATCATTGATTAGCTGGGCCGTGTCAAGCCAAAACACCCCAAACAGCTCTAGACGGTTCTCTGGGTTGAGACGGTTGAGAGATGAATTGCTTTGAGATGAAACTGCAACCGATCCGATTGACACAATTCTCCAAAACATGAACACAAAGTCTCATCGTTTCTTTCTTCGATTAACAAAAACATCACGTTTCTCTTGCGTGAACAATCTGACATCATTTGACATTTTCCTCTTTTTGCGCACACTTGAGCTGTTTCAGGACACAGGTTGCGCCAAGGGACTTGTGAGCCAAGCTCGCATCACCATCGCTGCCTCAATACGCTCAGAAGGAACCATCGTTTCGATGTTCTTGGACTCGCTGCGCTCTTCGATCGATCATGGGCTATCTGTGACCCGCCGGAACCGCGGGTTGATCCTCCCTCTCATGGCACTGTCTCCTGGACACTCGGACTCTCCCAGACGACCGGCGACGACCGGCGACCGGACCCTCCGAGTCCAGGCCACGTTTCAAGCGCGTGCCATGCCAGACCACATTTTCGTTGAAGCGGGGCCCCAGCTGCGAGTCCACCTGCGAGTGCCGCGAGTCCACACTGGAGACCTTCGGACCTATGCCCCAAAGTCTTCCCATGCGTGGGAAATAGGTTGTGAATGCCCAGGCCGGAGAAAGCCGGAGACCCTTGTCAAACAGAAAACAGAACGGAAATCAGTGACCACCGCTCAGCAGACCAACGCCAAGGACGCCAAGGCCACGATGGCCAGTGGTACTCCTCAGTCTGAAGCACGGCATACCGAATTCTTTCTTTCATGCGTGCCAGAAGGTCAACGCCTGTGACAAGCAGTTGCACCCAACAATTGAAGGGAGGCTGTTGCATGGGCCCGTTTCGAACCTATTTCACCGACGGAAGTCCATCCACGGGTTTTTTGAATTTTCCACCTGACTAGGAAGAGATCTCTGGCAATTCAATTCACCTCTGATATTTCACTAGTTTGTGCGTCTCCACCATGACTCTACAGAGCCATACCAGGGCGCCCGCACGTCTGAGATCTCCCCGGCGTCGCCGGATGCCGGGGGGAACCACCGCTTCACTCCGCCTCAATGGCCAAGTACTCTTGCGCCAAGGACTTGTTCTCAAAGCGTTGCACCACAACCTCATGGGGAGGACTTCTTCAAAGTTGCTGATTAGTTATGAAACCTTTTTCCAGCCGGTCTACAGCAACAGAACTCCAAACCGGGTCAACCCCAAAAAAAAGTCTAAGAGATGCAATTTATAAGGCTCCTTCAAAAAAAAAATGGGGCGGGTTTCTAGACCCTTTCCTTTACTTCTTCCATCTCTTTCAGCTGCTTCCAAGGGTCATCAATGGACAACCCTACACTGCTGATAGGTCTCCATTGGACACCCATTGGATGCGCCAGGTTAGACTTCTTCTTCTTCTTCTTCTTTGACCAGATTTATCCCTTCCGCTGCGCTGAAGGAAGGGCCGCCAAGTGACTCCCCCAAGCGCTTCCCGCAGGTCCACGCCCGGCGGCCGCCGGAGCCGCGCCGCGCCGCCACTCTGCAGGTAGAGGCTCACCACCGCCTGAAAAAAGGCGACTGGAGACCGATGAAATGAGCTTTCTTTCAAATCCGGAGAAATGAGATCGCAAGTATTTGGTTGAGGAAGTTGAGGTTTCATGATACGTGGTCAAGGTGGTCTCAGAGTCTCGCCCCAAATAAACCAACATCACCCTAGTGACACACGTGAACCAAGTAGCAACTCAGCAGCTGTAAAGCCCTCAAGAGCAAACAGGAAGCTGAACAATCAGATTTCAGAAGACTACTTTCCTCTACGAGAGGGCATCTTCCACTTCCATGCTTGTTTCTTCCTTTGTCTGTTCAATGGTTTCTTTTTGTGGGGAACAGTGAGAGCTGTATCACACCCGGGTGCTCAGTCACCAGGGACAACCCCATGCGAAGGATCCAGTTGTATAATAACCAAACGGCAAGCACGAGGCCATTGAGATTCACTTGCAACCTGGCAGGTAGCTCTCCTTTGCTGCATCGATGCTATTTCTATGGTTTGCGTCGGAACATTCACCATTCCCCAGATATCGTGGATACTGCTACATCCAGCTTGGCCTCCAGTACCCCACAAATACTTGCATGACATCACACCCAAGGTACAATGAACGAAGAAACCTTCAGGTCGGGAATGCCTTATGATAGAAAAGCCACCTCGAGCTAGCTAGACTCTGCATCAAGTCTGAACATGTACTAGAATTGGTTTCAATCGATGTGGGCGTCATCCCTTCTTCAGTGGACATGACATACACCTTTAAGGTGCAAAACTTCTTCCAAAAGCTCTACTCCGCTTGGACCTTCCAAATCAATGGATCGGCCAATCTACTGCAGAAATCCATCAGGTCCGGGTAGTTCTGCTTGGAAAATTGTTGAAATGACCCCGAACTAACGCATGACGCCGAACCCATGACGCCGTGAAGGTTGGAAGAGGCCTTGGAACAGGGTGCAACATGCTTGGAACTGGGGTGTAGCCCAAAGGGCGTCGAACAAAACCACTTGTCGACTGGTTGAAAGTGCCCTTGTCGCCTCAGCCTCTTGCGAGTTGCTCGGCAGCAAGACTGTGCCTGGAGAGCCATGTGGCTGCTTGGCAATGGATGCGTGGGGATTGCTCGTCAATGCCGCTGGGGGAAGAGTTTGGTTGTAACATCGTAGAGAGACTTGAGATTGATCACACAAACGGGGTTTCTATTGCGATGCTTGGTAGGCCCGGTATCCAAGAAGCAAACACGCACAGAGCCTTGGCTGTACACGTCTTCATCAAGGCCTAACCCACTGCTGGGATGGGGTGCTCATCAGTAAAGGCCTTTGGAGAGGACAAACAAGAGTCAAATTCGACGTTCCCAGTTCAACCTCATCGGTCCGGAGAACGATGTTCTTCCTTCCTCTTCTTGTTGTGACTGGCTCTTCACAACGGTGCGCATCTGGACGCTGAACCGCTGTGGTCGTTTTGGCACGAATACTCCAAAGGGCCAAGGATCTTGGCATACAAGCTCGATCCTTTTGGACAGGAACACGTATAGACACGACAAAACACATCGCATGCATTGCGCCAACAGCAACAGGTGAGCCTAAAGTCCGAACCACAGCACACCGAGAGTCGAAAGGCACTGAACGGAACAAACTTGGACACACCATTTCCGGGGAAGTCACGTTGCGAAACCTGCGCGGACACCTCCAATCCGACTTGGAATTGAAGAGCATCAGAAGCTCTTTGTGTAGCCATACCATTTGGACAGAAAACGGAAAACGACTTCAGGTGGTGAAAGGCCTCGATCCCTCAACACACTGCTTAGTTCGGAGCTTTTCTTCACTTCGATCCGACAGGTCCAGCCACCACTGGAAAAAGCAGAAACAGAGTGTGCAAAAGAAGCTCCAAGCAAGCACAGTCTGTTGGAAAATCAAGTTTGTTTCTGGTTCAAACTGGGGATTTCGAGTCTTCAGACCTGATTGGGACACAACCACATTTTCCTCCGGAGACCTCCGCGACTTCCCGCCGCCTGCGGCATCTTCCCGCAAGGCCGGCAGTCGTGACAAGGTCTCTTGGATCAAGGGGTGGCTAAGGCTCACCTCGCACGATCCGGCGGATTCGGACAGCGAGTCTTATTAGGTTGGAGGCCATTGCAACTTAGAGTTTTATATGATCCCAGCCGTGCTGCGCTGGTATGCTACCGATGGCTAGGCGCTCAAATGATCCCAGCCTCCTCCAACAGGTCGTAGTCTCTAGCGATTGAGGGTTGGGGAAGGGCCCGAATACAGGTCGAACCATTGGTGACCTGGCAGTGAGGGTTCTGGTCTATTACCCATCGCCTGTGAAACGACCATTTGCTGGCATGCGCCACACTCGCAAAAACCACTCCTCAAGCCTCGCCTTTTGCGTTTTCTCTCGCTTCGCCGCTTCGCCTTTCGTCGCGTCTCGCGGGTTTCCACCGTCGCCTTGCGGGAGCGCGAGACCGAGCGGGAGCGCGAGGGTGAGGTGCCACCCAGGCGGCCCTCGAAGTCGAAGGCCTTCTCCACGTTCCCTGGCGGTGCCGCCGGTGCGACCGGGTTCGGAGAGTGTCCTGAGTCTACCTGGAGAGCTTTTTGGTGTGGGGAGCAGTTGCAGAGACGGCGGAAAAAAAGGGGCCCCAAGCCTTCTTTCGGACACTTCTTTGGACCTAATCATGCCTAATCTGCTTTGACCTCTGATTGGATCTGATTGGACATGGCAGGTGGCTGCCCAATACCCTTATCTCCACCCTTGCTCCAACCCACTTTGCTGCACCTTCCTTCCGATAGCCTCACACTCAAAATCGGAAAGGAGACAGCGGCTTAAGAAGAGACGTCTTGTTCGCCCAAAACCGTCAAATATCTCTGATGCCATCTCCCAAAAAACACCGGTCCATTTCGTGGGTTGCACATCCCCGCTTCCGTGAGGTCTTTCTTCCAGCGCCTGGGCTCAATTGAAAATGAAGAATGTAGGCCGCCAGTAGCTGATCAATCTGCCCTGGCGAAACTCACCGAATGCTTTCGCATTCCGCGACCCACTCGGGTCAACACCGTACCCCGAAGGCTTGTCTAGGAGTGGAGGTTGATCGAGGCCGAAGGCACCCAGGGCAAACACCTTCACAAAACCTGAAGTTTGAGTGGATCTCCTATGGATCTGCACCCAGAAATTAGATCTTCCCATGTGAAACCGGTGCCTCATTCCCCCAGTCTACCAGGGCTTCGGTTGATTCACCTAAGATTCACCGTAAGACCGTGCTGGCGAACATGTTGCAAACAAGCCCGAGACCGAAACACTTCACACCCTCCCCGCACCGGCGCTCGTTGCTTCGTCGCTTCCGACGACCGGTGCGAGGTCGAGGTCCCGGACCCTGGAAGCTGCGACTTTCCAAGGGCCGGTCGGTGGGACCGCCCAACTCGGCCTGGCACGTTCTTTTCCATCGCCGGACACGGACAAACAAAGGTCGCCATTTCCTTTTTCATTTTTGGGATCCGGCCTGCTGAGAAGGGCTCCCCGGGTCGTGTGGGCGCCATCTTTGGCACCATTTCTTGGGGTCTAAAGATGTGAATGCGCCGGGTGGTCGTTCAGTTTGAAAGACACCGTGGTATTGGCCTAAATGGAGAGACATCCTGGAGTAAGCGAGTGAAGCAAACAGGCTGTTAAATTCACACACACTTGGGAAATGCGTAGGGAACGGAATGCTTCATGCCACACGGGGACCTAGGTAAAACAAGATGGAGCCCATGAACCCGAATGCAAACACGTACTCGAAGCCAACACTCAAACAATTTTTGACACTCTTGTAGGAGACACATTTGTGGGACACTCTTGTGCACTCTTGCGAAGCACTCCTGTAGGACACACTTGTGGGACACTCATGCGCGACACTCTTGTATGTCACTCTTGTGGGACACTCTTTTGGGACACTCTTGTGGGGCACTCTTGTAGGACACTCCTGTGGGACACTCTTGTGGGACACTCTTTTGGGACACTCTTGTAGGACACTCTTGTTGGTCATTCTTGTGCGACACTCTTGCGGGACAATCTTGTGGGATACTCTTGTATGTCACTCTTGCAGGACACTCTTGCGGAACACTCTAGTTGGACACTCTTGCGAAACACTCTTGTAGGACATACTTGTGGGACACTCATGCGCGACACTCTTGTATGTCACTCTTGGGGGGGGTCTCTTTTGGGACACTCTTGTAGGACACTCTTGTGGGGCACTCACCCATCTCTGCCTCAGTCACTGTGCCTTGGGCTCAAAGGTGGCAGAGGCAGTGGTCAAACAGGTTTGCATATTATGACTCAACCCCCAACGTTTGCTGTGACCTCTTGGGCCCATGCACATTGCTCCCGCCGTGGTGGGGCCCGACTCCAGGGTGGGAGGTAAAAAGTGACGCTGCAGAAGAAGAGGCTTCACTTTTCACCTTGAGACCACGCTTCGCTGGCAGAGACCACCTTCCTGACCAGAGAACTGAACGTTTCTTCCTTGCTCGGCTTCTGCTTCCTGCTCTTGTAGATCAGTCCGTTGGCCTCCTCCTTGCTGATGCGACCGCCGCTTCTGAAACAGAGAAAAACGTGCCCTGCCACCGTCCAACCTCACCGTAGTGGTAAGACGGCGCGGGTCTGCCGCCCTCCAGACATCGTATAATAGCTGGCCAAAAGGAGGCGCCCCCATCCTGCCCGGGGACGGGGTTATGCGAAGCTCATGTGCGCGCAAAAGCGACAGATGAACGATGAGCGAGACAAGACAGACGAAAGAGTGTATGTCGATTATGTCGTTGTTGATGGGAAGCCAAGTGAAGAGGGACAGCCACTGAACCAAACCTCACTGTAACAAACCTACAGCACCTGAACCCAGTTTGATGTAGAACACGCGTGCGTGTATGTGCACAAGCTGAGGTCCGGGAGAAAGTGCGCGCAAGAGAAGAAAAGGATGAGGATGACAAGACATCAAGACGGAAGGACATGAAAGAAAAGAAAGGAAAGAAGTCTGTGTGGGCCAATGAAGAGGGAACCAGATGAAAGGAGACAAACAGATGAAGAAAGCCGAACCTCATCAAAACACCTGTTGCAAAAGCCTGTGTTCCCAGCTACGACCCAAGCGCCCAAGGACACACCAAGACAAGAGGAGAAGGGTTCCAAGCTATGACGAAAGCATCCAGGGACACCCAAGCAAGAAAGAGAGAGAGAGAGAGAGTGAGAGACAGAGGAAGAGGAAGAGGAAGAGGAAGAGAAAGAGGAAAAGGGAGAGGAAGAGGAAGAGGAAGAGAAGAAGGGAGAAGGGGACAGATGTTCCCAGCTACGAAACGAGCGTCCAGGGGCACACCAAGTTAAAAAGCTTTGACTGCCCTGGTCACCACCTTTGCCATGCCAAAATGGCGGGCTACTTTGACCGCTGCGGTCACGTTCTGGCCTGCTCGAGAGCTGCCTGCTTAAATTTGATAGTTCGTCAAATCTTGGCAAATAACTTTGGCACACGCCTACTTTGTCCGCTGCGGACTGCTCTGTATCCGGGCAGCGGATACGGTAGACATACCCCCGTTCGACGGGGCCACAGGGCTCCCACTGAGGAGAGACACACTTGGGAAATGCATACGGACTGAATGCCTCATGCCACACGGCGACCTAGGAAAAAATGGCCTGAGTAAAACGGCAAGGGTAGGTTAGAGGCCATCGCTAGGAATTTGGAGGCCATCGCTAGTAGGTTATGCGCGCACGCACAAAGCTGCACCAAGCAACAAGGTTGGAGGTCATCGCTAATGGGTTGGAGGCCATTGCACCAGGTTGGAGGCCAGCGCTACTAGTCTACAAGACACGAACTGAAAGCACAAACCCCAAACGCATCAAGCAACAAGGTTGGAGGTCATCATTAGTACATAAAAGGTCATCGTGCCAGGTTGGAGGCCAGCACTACCAGTTTACAAGAGGCAAACTCAAAACACAGGTGGCAGCCAACTTCACCATCCTATCTTGCTGCCTAGCTTTGTTAGACCAGGTCAGCAGCAAGATGCCTGGTCCCCCTGCCACCATACAGACCGTAGGGTCTATTCGAGAGTACCACACACTTATAGAAATGCGTACGGATTCGGTTGCGGTTTGCCACACGCCAAAGAGGCCAAGCAGGTACGTCAATCCGGCGTCCCGGATTGATTTCACAGATGCAACACTGGCGTCTTCATTGGTGCCAGTCCAGTGTGCGGCCCCTCGTCCGAAGATCTTCTTTCTCGGTGCGCTCCCTGAAGAGTTGGGCCTGGAGATCAAGTTTCTCCCTCAAAAGCTTTTCCTTCTCAGATTTTTCGCTGTTGACCTGCTTTTCCCTGGTCTTGACCTCCTGTTCCTTGGTCTCGACCTTCTCTTCCGCCAACCTCAGCTTCTCCTTCAAGTCCTTGAACGACTCCTCCTGCCTGTTCAGGTACCCACGCGTCACGCGGTTCCCGTCGGCATCACGCTTGTAATAGCGCTTACCGTCGGCGGTCCAGGAGCTTCCCCAGTTCCATTGGTTTGGCTGCTGCCAAGCCATGCCCGCCACGCAGGAGGCGCTGGGTCGCACCCCCCTGCTTAAAATCAAAAGAATGAAGCAATCCAACAGGATCCCTGTGACTCCAAGGGTTACACACACGCCTCCCCGAGGGGAGGCAAAAGACTAAGGTTTAGGCGAATGTGCACTTGTGCGCGCAGCAAGGACAAAAAGATGAAGACATGAAAAAGAGGACAAGACAGGACAAAAGTGGAACCAAGGGGACAAACCATGAACCGCACCTCACTGTCAAACCTGGGCGACCTAAAACCTGGATTTAAAGTGCATGTAGCTGTGCACTGACAAGACATGAAGACAGGGAGACATGAAAGAAACAAAAAGAAAAAGTGTGTGAAGGGAAACAGGATGAAAAAAGATGGAACCAAATGAAGGGGACAGAAACAGATGAAACCAAACCTCATTGAACACCTGTTGCAAAGCCTCGTTTGTATGTTAACACGCCGCGCGCGAGGGAGGGAGGGGTAGGGAGAGAACAAAAGAAAGAAAGGAAAAGAAGGTGTTCCCAGCTACGACACAAGCGTCCAAGGACACACCAAGAGAAGAAGAGAAGGGTTCCCAGCTATGACGAAAGCATCCAGGGACACCCAAGCAAGAAGGAAGGGGAAAGAAAACAGAACTTGAGAGGAGGGAGACACGAAAGGTAGGACAGCGGGAAGAGAAGAGAACGCGAGAGGCAGGAACAAAAATGCAATGTTCGACATGGTGAATTATCCCCTCGGAGGCGACCTTTCGTAAATATATGTTCATATGCACTCTAAATGTTCAAACATATGCTCTCGAAATGTTCAAAAAGATTCTTAGGAAAGCAAACTTGCCCCATGGCTCAGATCATCGGTGAGCATTGAATCGGAACATCATAGGATTTGAACTATCCTGAAACCATAAGAGGCTCACGAAGACGCTCCCCAGGAGAGAATTGACGTGCTTCACAAAACAAACTCTAGGTATGTATCCCCTCGGGAACACCTTTCGTGATTAGAATTTCATATTAACTCTTTCAGAATGTTCAAGAGGGTTTCAACTATCCTGAAATCATGAGAGGCTCACGAAGACGTTCTCCAGGAGAGAATTGATTTTAGAGGGGGGGAGGGGGGGGGGGTCTGAATTGAGCGATCAATTATTAGACCCGGACGTCCCAACACTTGCTTCGCAAGACAAACTCAAGGTATCCCCTAAAGGGCTACCTTTCGTGAAAAGAGAGATCCAGGGACACCCAAGCAAGAAGGAAGGGGAAAGAAAACAGAAAAAGAGAGAGGGAAAAAAGGGAAAGAGGAGGAAAGAAAAGGAAGTGGACAGGTGTTCCCAGCTACGAGCAAGCGTCCAGGGACACACCAGGGAGAGGGGTGTACCTGAGTGTTACATTCAGGAACACCCCAAAAGGCAAAGAAGGAAGAGGGGAAGGGTATGGGGAGGAAGGGGGTCAAGAGGCGTGCCCGAGGGCAAGGGTTACACACACACACACGTTTTATTGCCAAGGCCATGCTCATCCAAAGACCCACCCAATTCTCCCGCTCTTGCCTCTGCCAGGTCAGGAGAACAAAAGACCTGAGCCAAACCCCTTTGGCTTTCGGCTCGAAGTTAAAAAAATAAACGGTTTGTTCTTAAAACATGATTTGGCCCCATCCAACATTTTACATCAATGCAATGGTTTGTGTGGAGCGCAGCACGAAAGCAAGATTTCTTTGGAAGCGGCAAAGACCCAGGTTTTGCTAACCTCGACAGCGAAGGAGATGGACCTCCGTTGACAATTTCGACCCAAAGGATTGGTTTCAGTCCGCCAGATCTGCAAATTAGGAGGTTTCGGACAAAGCAACACCCATTGTTTGAAAAAAGATACCATAAAACACTTTTACCGAAACACATATAGAAAAACACATCATGTCATTTCTCTTGGCTTTTGTCTTTTTGGTCTTTCACAAACACGGCTTGGACCTTGGGTCAACACTGCCGGATGAACGCCCGTTGTCGCAGGGTCTGCGCCAGGCAAGCGAGTTGTCTTCACCCCTTTTTTTCCAACAAATCCTCATATAGTTGGACCATGACGACTAACTATATGGTCACTTTTACCCTCTGTCCAACCCCTACGATATAATATGGTGGACTGATAGGATGGTCATATAGATTCAATAAAGGAGATACCCTACAGTCCCTACAGGTCAGGTGGACCTCATCGTACGGGAATTCCAAAACATTTCTCAACCAGGTCAAAGACCAGGTTTGGACTTGGGTCAACCTGTAGGTCTTTCTGCACGGAGAGCGGTCGTCACCGTTGGCCTCCCGCTGCCCCCTTCCCCTGAAAGTCCAAACCCACGACTCCGTTTGACCAACGAAAAAGAAGAAGTGGTGGATCATGACTTCTACTTTCCCACTTCCTCCAACGACCCAGGAATCATGACTTCTCAGAAGTTGGGGGGGGTTTTCCCATTCAGAAAACACTTCCCACTTCACTTCCTCCACGACCCCAACAAGCCCAACCACCCCAACGGTCTCCCGTTCAAAACCTTCTCCGGTCGTGCCGAGACGCCACGGTGAGGCTCACGGTGCGTGGCGCTTCCTCGGGGTCCATCTGATCCATCAACTCTTTGGCCACCTTGGCTGGTGGGAGGCTCCGGTGGTTCGGGGTCGCACGGGGGAAAGCCTAACAGAATCGACGACGAAGCCGGTAGGGAGGTGAAGCTACCAGGGTGAAAACCCATTCAGAAACCACCGGGTTTTCCAGGAACTAAGTATCGAAAGAACTCCCCGGTCCAAACCGCCATGCACCGGAGCCCGGTGAGCAAACACCGATGGGCTCCGGAAGCCCGGCCTGGTGGTACCGTGGCAAAAACCCATGTGGCAAGTGCCGCTCCAGTTCCGAAAAGACCTGGTGGCACTTGGAACCCTTTCTTCTGTAAAACACTTTGGTGCTTTTCCAAGCTGAAACTACATGGGATATGCCCACCGGTGTTCAATAGTTTGTGAAAAAGAAGTGAAGTTGTTGGACCCTGATAGGATGAAGGATGCTGTCAGGGTTTGGTGGTCTTGTCAAACCATTTCACGTAGGACTGTGTTCAAATCACCCCTGAGGTTTTTGATGAGGGCCATAAGTTACTTGTCAGCAATGTGATCCTTGGCTGCGTGGACCAAAGCCCTACGCATCTTTTGGGATCTCTTTGTTGTTCGGTCCATCAAACTGTTGAGCCTGATCCCACACAAACATGCACAAGCAAGTCATCTGTGATGCTAAGCCGACCTCAGCATGATTCTAACAGTATTGTTGTATCGTGAGTGACATGACGTCAATGGCTTTCGAAGCAGGAGCGCCAAGCTTCGATTGCATGTGTAGGGTGCTTGTCATCCTATACTATCGAGCATCCTACAGCTTCTCAAGTGCCTTGTTGAGAACATTCAGGACTTGATGAATGGCTGGATTTGTGGATGCACCCGCGGATGAGCTTGACTGTGACTCCTGTCAAGTCGAACTCGAGCCCCACCTGGTCGATCCATGCTTTGTGGTCATGATTTTGTTGTAGCTTCTCCAGTTCTGGCGGCGTCGTCTGCGTCCGCGACAACCAAGAAGAGTCTATTGATCTCTTTTGGAAAATTCTCTTCGAGACTCATTCTGAGGCTGCTTACAGTGCTTCTGCACAAAGCATGACAGCAGAACCGGGACGCCATCACAACAGGACCGGGACACCATCAAACCATCAAAGCATGACCGGGACACCGTCAAAACAAGACTGGAACACCAGCCGCCCACCAGATCTGCCGGTGACCGCCTATCAGTTTTCATCGCGTGGCTATTGGAGAATTGCGAGTGGCCGAAGGCATTTTTTCGACAACTGCTCTTCGTGCTCCATACTGTTTGTGCAGCCACCTCTGCACTCTGCGGTGCTGTGTCTCGATAACGAGAATTCACAAAGCCCACCCAAGCACTTCGCCATTGCTCCAGGCAGTGCTGCCGTGGCGGCATCACCTCATGATACTGTCCAGGCTTCAGTAGCTGCAACACAGTGGCCTGCGTTCCTTGCAACCAAATTCCTCTTGGTGCGTGGGGGCACCTGCAGTATGCCTTCTTCGAGTGCTTCATCTAGTACTTCTTCAGGCCGAGTCGTGTTATGCTCGTGAGCTCGAGCAACTAAGTGTGAATGCTTTCGAACTGCCAACTGAAGTTCTGTAGGAGCTACTGATTGATCGCTGGGCACCAGTGACGAGCAATGCTCCACCCATCCACGGCCAACGGCCGACTCCGCTATGAACCTCCATCGAGAACGCATCGAGGCTCGCCAACAGTTCCCCGTTGCGGATCTGATCCATGGCAGTGGCCAGGAGATAGAGCCTGCTTGAAGATGATGCTTCAAATCTGCTGATAGCTCCACATGCTTGGCCCTTTCAACAATAGCTCCTCTCTGTCGTTTCCTCCTCTCTTGCCGGAGAAGAGAAGATCGACCTGTTTCCTTTTTTATGGTCTCAAATTGATTTGCTTAGTGGAGCTACTTTGTGTTTGATGCTTGCGCCAGCGATTTCCATGCGATCCACTCCAACCCGCCCCCCTTCCCCTCCACTCGCGTCTCGCCGCACCACTTGGGACGCCTGCGGCTTCACCGAGGAACCACGCAGGCGTCTGAGACCAAGCGCAGCTTCTGCCCGCTGCTGCCGCTGAAGCCCTGCGCGGTGATGCGGTGGAGCTCTGCCGGCGTCGTCCTCGGTGGAGCTCGGTCAGTGCCGCGCGACCGAAGTGGTGTGCTTTGTGGCCGTCGTGTGTTGAGTCAAGCGTCTTTGAGACTTCAAAAGCCTCTTTGCTCTTACTCGGAATCGCCTGGAATCGAAAAAAGAATGAACATGAACGGATCAAGAAGGACATCGGACAAATACGGTTTCCAGGCTCTACCAGGTGGGAGTGCCCAGCCCAGACTCATGAAATGCCAAGAGTGGAAAGTGTGTTGCAAAGAGCCGACATGAAACAGCTGTGTTGCGGATTGGTATCCCTTCAAAAAACCGTTGGAAGTACACACCCACCTGCATGTCCCGGCAAAACCAACGGTCCAAGGATCGCTTTTTCTGTTGCTGTGCCGGGCAGCTCCGGCTCAAAAACACACTCCCTCTCCGGAGCTATGAAGTGCTGCACCACCATGCGGGTGGAAACAAACGAAATCACCAACAAAAAAGGTAGACAGGTTGCCATGTCGTGTCGTTCCTACCTCCAAAGTCGTGGTGGTGGTCTTCACATGTTTCTTTTGCTGACAGGATCTCCTTTTCACATCGTCTCCAACGTCTCTTTGCCAACGTCTCTTGGGATGAAGAGACGTTTTGGAAGTGGACACGGTCACCTGCAGGTCACGGGGAGGCGCCCGGCGCCCGGCGCGGTCCCCGCATCGGATCGGATGAGCTTCGGTGCATAGAAGGCAATGCCACACCTGGATGCATGTTCGCCACCAGCGGTTCTGGCCAAGAAGGCGGAGAAGGTTTCCTTGGTGGGTGCATGGAAGACGCCCACCAAGAAGCTTTTCAGGGTTAAGGCATGAAGGGGGACCACTGGACTCTTCCATTCTTCTTGGAACTCATATCTTGCGAGGAACAGTTCAGGAACAGTATAAGGTGGCCCTTTTGAACAAAGGGGCCACATGGGCAGTGGCGAGCATGGCACAGAACTTGTGTGAGTGAGACCCATGCCAAAAGCATTTCCGACCCAAGTGTTCGAGCAGCCCCAGTTGAGGGACAACTGTTGCCAGAGAAATCCCTCTTTGTCGGATGAAGGATCCTCCACATGTCGTGGATGGCTAAGACGCCGCGCAGCAATGCCGTCCAAATAAAGGGAGCACACAGGTTGATGCCGGATGGTAGTGTTCAAGCGAAGCGTGTTCAAACAATGAATCATGTGTGCCAGTAAGTGGTCTACGGAAATCAAATAATGCAAAACATCGTTCTTGGAAACAATGCATGCATGCTTGGGGGGAAACCAGCAAAAGCAGCAGCAGAAGCAGAGCTCAGAAACCATTCAAATCAAATCAACAAATCAGGAGAATCTCTGTGCGCACAACCCCCCACTTTACCACCCCAAAAATTCCAAAGAGAGTGTTTTCCACTTTAAGTCGCCGGGCGGGAAATCCTAAGCGTCCTTGCTACTAGTAGCGACGCACCTTTTTACTAGTAGCGTCCTTGTTACTAGGAGCGATGGCCTCCAACCTAGTAGCTTCTGCCAGGAGCCCCTAGTGGCTTCCTGTTACTACTAGTAGTAAAACCAGAGTTCTTCAGTCAAAACCCATGAACTTCGTGGGCCGCCAGCGCCCGCGCCGCTCGGTCCGCCCAGCGTCGGGCGCGACGATGCGTTCGATGCGCAGGACCTTCGCTTGGCTCTTGGGCACCGTCTCGTAGAAGAGCTGTGCCACGCGCCACCTGCAAAAGGACCCAGTTCTGAAGCAGCCGGCCTAAAAACCCAAAGCTTGAGGCGTTGAGATGGTCCTGCAACTCCCAGGACGATCTCAAAACTCGCGCAGGCAAGGGCATCACCCGCGGGAAGATTGAGTAGCGAAATGTAAAAAAAAGAATAGGAACGGGCAAAAATGAGCAGAACAAACTGAGCAGCTTACGAAGTTCATCCCTCTCCCTGGTAAGTGAAGGTAACAAAGGCCAAGGTGCTTGTCGGAGGCTCCGGGTGGCTCCATACCATGCTCCAAAGCTTGCATGGCGGTGGACGTGCGTTCCTGCCAGAAAAAAGAAAGGTCACACATACAGATAACTGACTGTGTGTTTTATTTACAGCGTTTGTACTACTTCGAAATCATGCATGTTTCCCATCATGTAAGGCATGCCTAAAGTCAACGTCGCAGGGTAGATGATATATATAAGCAAAAAGCAAACTAATTCTTTACACGAAACCAGGTTCACATCTCCATGCTTTGTCTCTTTATGGAGATCTGAGCTGGAAGGAACCTGTCGATGCTTTGCCAAAAACGATCTATGACTCGGTGGATGTCTTGGGTTTCTTCAAAGATGGCATCTTCTTCACAAACCATTCTGAAATCGATAACCGTCCTGGTGACATACAATAAACAATATTTTCTCCACCTCCCCAGGCCTCCACCCACCCCAAAACACATCATCACAGGCTCTTCGATGACAATGTACGTTGTTGACAATGTTGTGAAAACGACGATAATACACCAAAACCTACGACAAAACACCAAAGAAATCCTAAGACGTGTGATCTTGCGGGTCTAGCGGCTTTGCCCCGATTCATTCCTTAAGGCATGACAGTTGTCATCAAAAGCTTCTTTCCATTCTTTCTCTGAGTTCTTTTGTTGGTTGAAACCCAACTTGGGTTTCATCCCTGATTTGCTCAAGCAACAGTTGATGGCGGAGACTAAGTTGAACAATTCGCTTTGCTCTTCCATTCGAGGTTTGACTCCACGGCACGCGCCACTTCCACGACAACGCCCAATGCTCGCGTGTGGAACGGTCAATTCTTATAGTTAGAGCTCTGAGGTTTGCTTCTTAGTGGATGCCAAAAAATGGGTGTAACCTGGTACATGCATTTGCGGATGATCCGCGCCTACTCAGTGCCTTCCTGATGGGTACGGCGGTTAGCCTAGAAGAAAAACTATACAGGAGTACATAGGAATGACACCAGTAAACGGAGTGTGAAAAGGACAAACTTGTGTACACTAGCAGTCTGTACTGCGGCTCGCAGTACGCGCTGTTCAAAACGAAAGAACGCAGGTGTGGAGACATGTTTTGCTGCAAGGGATCAAGGAAAGAAACAAGAAGGTGAACAAAAACACTGGTGAAACCACACGGGTAGAAACATGTTCGACTCATTCGTGCTTTCCAATCCGTTGATGGAAACACATGTTTGAGACTTCCAAGTAAACATTTGCCATAGGATTTTTCCACAAAGAAAAGGAACCAGAAAACTTTGGAAAACCTCTGCTACCATGGAGAAAAAACCACCAAAAGATCCAACCGCCTCAACCACCTCGTTTGACGCCACCCTCCTCCGGCCCCTCCCCGGGAGGCCCCACCTGCAACATGGGCGACGCGGCGCGCGGGTCCCGCGACGCGCTCCGCGCGCGCGAGGCGCTCCGAGCACGGGAGGTGTCCCGCGCGGAGCGCTCGGACTTGCCTGGTGGAAGCCACCCGAGGCCGTCGCTTTGGGGAAGCGAAAAAGTTGGAGTCAAAAAGGTCAAAAAGGGGCCTCATTCAGAAGTGCTAAAAAGGAAGAGCCATTCATTACCTGAGATTTTCTTCATTTTTAACAACTCCGTGGGATTTTCTGGACTTTGGGAAGGGCTTTGGGTCCAAAGTGAATGTAGTATACCGCCGTTTCCATTCTCGAGCTGGACTTGTGTGTGGGGGTTCCCAACTCAGCTGTTGGTCAGGCAGCTGGAGGCTTTTCAAGTGTGAAATGCGCGCAAACATGTTCTTGTTGCTGCTGTTATTGTGAAGTTGCTCGACGGCACCTTTTTAATAGACTACCATAATATAGGTAGTTGTGTAAAGGGCGTGGAGAACACATACAAAACATACCCCCACAATTAGGAAGATGGACGGTAGCAAAGCTTTCGCTCAACAAACGACACCGAAGAAACCGTGCCGACCGAAGCCGTGCCTCGAACTGGATCGCCATTGGTGAACTGTGAAGGGAACACCATGGAAGGACAGAACTAAATTGCAAAACTGTGTGGGACCAAGAACAAGAAGCTACTAGGAGCAAAGGGCATCGCTACTAGGAGCAAGGACGCTACTAGGGGCTCCTGGCCTTGCTACTAGGAACAAGAAGCTAGTAGAAACAATATGTAGAAGTTAATTCGAATTAAAAGTAATCTTCAAGAAGGGCGAGGTCTAAAGAACGGACATGTCTGAAGTTGAAAAATATTTTGGTCAAACAAGGCTGAAAGGGAGGCAACAATTCAAGGTCTAAAGAAAATGACTAGACAAAGGCGCCCCAAAAACGGCGTCATCAGGCCCCTAAAACGACCAGGTCAATGTGTAAACAAGACCCACATGGCAAAAACCACGGCCGTTTTTCCCGCCAAGAAGGAAGATTTCGGCCCGCCTCCTGGAGTTTCATCGGGAAAGGAACATTTCAAAGACACGCCACGGCGACGTCCTGTGACGGTGCTGTTTGATGGGTGATGCAGGTCAGCCGAGAACTGGCGGGATGGACTTCACCGCTTGGTGAAGCTGGTGGAAGTTCCCTGTGATGCGGGTTGATTTCAAAGGGACCTGTAACAGCTGAACTGAACACATCATGCCTGAAGGAATTAACAAATGCCAGCGAACAAACACATGAATGATGCAAAGGAGTCACTGTCACTGACGCTTTTGGAAACTTGCTCGCATCATCCACCATTTTGTGCAAAGTGCGCAAAGCTGTCTCATACTAGCCACTTTTGTCATCAGTGTCAGTGATGAGAAACACTTTGACATTTTCGGAGTGGAATGAGGTGCAACTTGGAAGGTGCAAGAAGTGAAAGAGTCGAACTTTTTCCACCCGCAGGGAACTCACCAAAAAGGTGAACAACACAACGTTGTCCGGGCGAGCTTGGCCAGGAAAATTGGCAAACCGATGTGCAAGATGCCTTGACCGATTTGACGAGACTTGGGTTCATCTTCTCGTCCGGGATGGTCTGCAAGAATGGCTTCAACATCATGCTTGTCAACACGGCCAGTTTCAGACTGTATAGCAGCAATTGTCAGCCCAACCGAAAGGAAAGAAGAAGAGGAAGCGTTCATACCTTTTCCTTTCCCACGTCGCCCTTTGGAAGTCAAAAGCAGCACTCTCTGGTCATTGGCTTCATAAAAATCCAAAGGTCTCTCGCTTGCAACTTTGTTGGGACTTCTTGGCACCACCCTCCATGTCAAACGCCTTTCTGGCTGCTTCGCCAAAACAATTTTCTTGTAGATGGAAAGAAGGATACCATGGAACCGTTCTTCTGACAGGCCGAGCTGATGAACAGCCATGCCAGCCACATAATCTGCACCATCATCAATGTCCAGCAAAGCACACGAAGTGCTCACTCTACTCCTGTCGTTTTGGAAAAGCACTGAACACCGTTGGATGACGGACTTTTTGACATGTTCTTTCAGCTGCAAGCGATGAAGTTCGATCTAGTTTAGTTGTCTTTGAATCATCAGCTGAAAAATATCTGTCTTGTCCTTGGTTTCTCATATTGTGTCACCCTCCGTGATCTGCCATGTCACCCCGGTCTGTTGAACTGGGGAGTCTAATAGTGAAGTCTCAAAAGTGCAAGAAACCTTCTGAGCACCAGGGGGTTCTCCATCACTCAACATGGCAACTTCAGAAACAAGCTTCCTTTTCCTGTCATTGGTCTGCTGCGGGGCTTGAACCGTCGAGCGCAGATCCTGAGCTTGCTTTTGCATGCATTTTGTCACATGAGCCGGCAGAAATTTTCCAAGCGCCCTCGCAACAACATTTTCATTCAAAGGAAGCATCGGCTCATCAGGACCACTTGACAACCCGAAACGGTCATCAGCAGGTCTGGCACGAGGGGACCTAGTCGCTTCACGAAGTTGGCTAACAGGTTGTAGCAGTGGCCTTCTAGAGCGGCCACCACCTTCTGGGGCAGAAGAACCATCATCAGGACCTGGTCTTTGCGCACCGTCAGAGGCCCATAGAGGAACAAGAGCAAAACGCAAAGAGCTGGCACTCTTTTCAAGGCGCGTAAAGAAAGCGCTCACATCAAGGCTTCTTGGAAAAGCCTACTGGGGTTTACGTCCTCACCGCTTGAAATGAGTGCTGCGAACTTGACCTCTTCATTCAACCCTGCATCTCACGGCTCACCCTGAAGGTGCATTCAGTTTTCAGGTTTCCAGGTTTTCAGGTTTCCAGGTTTCAGATTCAGGTTTTCAGGTTTCAGGTTTTGGTTTTCAGGTTTCAGGAACTCGATGCACTGACCAGGCTGGTTCAGTCTTGCTCCGACCGACTACCTGATGCCAATCAAGACAATAAGCAAGCCTTCTCGCTGTAAGGGATCTCCGGATTCGCCTTGTGTACGCCCTCAAACCTCAAACCTACGAGTCGAAAAGTCCGTTAGAGAACCGCTCTCCCACGAAAGACAGCGCACTGACTCCCTAACCAAGTACTTTGGCCTCAACGGTTGAGGATCCGCTAAGCTCTTTGAAGATGAAGTAGGAACACCTTTTGAAGTCGTTGGCAAACTTTAGCCTTCCGTACCAACGGTGGGCGGGGTTTCTTGAAGGCTTCTTGCTCCTCCCGACTACGAGGAGATCTGCAACAACAACTGCTTCTGACTCCCTTAGCGTTGGTACTTGAGGAGTCTTTGTAACTGGGATGCTTTTGGCACAGGGACCACAATGCTCTCTTCAACTTCCGGCTGTGTTGGCTTCGGTGGCACAGGTAAAGAGGATGCAGTCACGCCCCACCACGGTGGTGGATGAAGAGGTGTAGGGAACTTCGACTTGAAAGCTGACACCTTTGGTCCAGAAACTTCCAACAGCTCCGGTGGATCTTGCTCTGCGTTCTCCTCCACTGATCCTCCTCCCGTCCAGTCACACTCCGCCTGACTGTTGCCCTTGAAGCGTCAATGAAGCTTGGATCAACGATATAGGGATACTCGTTGGACAGTGCCCCCCACACTCAAGACCTTGTGCAATAAAACTCTCCTTGTGTGACAGTCCTCTACGACCCGACCTGTGAAAGGCGACCGCTGGCCAGAGAAGTGTAGTTCTTGTAAGCCTTTACGGCTGATAACCACGCAAAGTGCGCGGATGGCGCCCACAAGTCGAAACAATCGTGTGCGCAGCCCTCGCACCTTTTTGGACACCTTGGGCCAAATTACCGGTCGTAGAAATGATCAACTCAAACCCGGTTGGTTTAGGTTGGTTCCCAAGTCTGTACAGTTCGTGCAAACTAGATCCCCGATTGTAACTTAGTCAAAAATCTTGAAGCAATGTAACCATCGAGGTGCTTTCTCCGAAGTTCACTGGAGAAACTGTTTCGAGTTCCATTCTTCACAATCTCATCCCATTGATCCGGTGACAAAATGTCTTCGTGATCAAGACACGTGTAAGCAACGTAGTCATTATGACGACATCCATGAGTTTTCACGTGAGGATCATAGTCCCAAAGAAGTCCAAGATCTTGTCTTGATAGACTATCCGGGTCTGTAGGTGGGTGTGGAAACCAGGGCAGCGTAGATTGCTTTAAGCAGTCAAGCAGACCATTCATATAAGTCTTCACACTCTTACAATACATCATGCTCACTTGAACCAACGAGCTAAAGAGGTAGCTCTTGTTTAATGATCAGTAGGACTCCCTAACAAGCAAATTTCATGAAATGCACGTCAGGAACAAGCACTTCTGGTTTCTGTCTCCTCCCCTTCCTCTCTCTCCCATTGCTCTCCTGGCGAGATGGACTCCCCCTCGCGGGACGGACTCGGCGCCGCCCGCGCCGTCACGGCGCCCTCCGACCGAGCCATGCGTTGACCTGGGTGCCGGATCGGTCTGCAGCGTCCGCTGTGGAGCTGGGTCTTCGAAGGATGCGAAGAGGTGGAGTGGTTGGAAAAAGGTTGGGAAAAAAAGGATGTTCATCTGAGAGGGGGAGGGAGGGTCCAAACACTGACTTGCGCACCTCGTCGCAAGTCTTGGAATGATTTGGAATTGGGTTCTAGGGGAAAGAGACCCCCAAGACATGAAACCAGCAAAAGACCGTAGAAAAGACATGGCCAATGGCCGGTGGACAAAAAGACCACCGCAACGCCGCAACATGGAGCAAGTCCAAATTTTCTCCAAACATTCCCCTTACAACAGTTCTGGATGGTGTCCCCAAGCACCTTTTGGATGACTTCTTGGTTTTCGCGGAGGAACTTCTGACCCCCGCCCCGCCCATTCGGCCTGCATCTGCATGAGCTGCAGAGGCGGCCGTCGGTCGGCTGAGCCGGGAGGGGCGTCCTGGTGGCGGCCAGATTCGTGCAGCTTCACAGAACTTGCATGTCAGTAAGCACGATCCGAAACTTGCATCTTGGTTCGCTTTAAAATCGAGACAACATCCTTCCAACCGAACTGAAACGAACCGGGAGTTTCCTGCCATCTGTGAGATACCTGAATGGGGAATACACGAGTCACCTTCAACCACCCTTCAAACTAGAATGTTCGCCCAAACTCAAGACTTCACATGGGTTGAACATGGGTAACGTTCGGGCATCGCTACTAGGAACGCCCATCCATCCACTAGTTGGGTTGAACATGCTTCAGACACGACACCCGGTCCTCCGTCCCCCGATGAGGTCTCAGGTCGACTTCGCCGCGTCGAGGTGTTACGAACGGCCAGGCCCCCTGGGCTGCATGGTGGTGCAGGGTCTCATTGGGCGGTGGCATGGGTGCTAGGCTTTTCCTCACCCGACGAGATTGGGGTAGCTAGGCTTCCGAATCAACAGCTCACCCTCTTGTGACAATCCGCGTCTCGCCACGACGCTTGAGCGGATGACCCCCAGCGTGCTACCTAATTAATTGGCTTTTCGGCGCATGCCGTGCGCGGTCCCGAAAAGGTAACTATTCTGGCAGGCCATGCCCAGTCCAGGTTCTTTAGAACCAGTGCATAGACGTTCATATTCAAAGTTGTTCGTGTGAGTTTAGCGGAATGCATCTACCCAACATCGACGACCACCCAGTGTCAAACGTTTTAGAAATCCTCATCTTCTCATTCAAGGATGGCTGCTGGAACCACACCGAACACTCCACAGCCATGCGGGATTCACACTTTTGGCCAGTCCATGTTCTTCATTTGTGCCCCATCCGCCATGACCCACAGCCATGGCGAAGACCTATTCCCTTTCTACTTCCCATTTTCTCATTTTTTGTGTGATCAAGGTGAGTCATCTTCAACCTCCATCCTTGCCCCAATGGCCTACAGGCACCCGATCGATCGCGGCCCTCTGCACCCGAACCTGGTGATGGTGGCTCTTCGAGGCGCGAGCTGCCTGACGAAGAGCGAACGCTGAACGTGTGGAGCACGAGCGAAGGAGCCTGTATTGGTCACATCCTCCCAAATCCCGGCCACATCTCTAGCGACCATAGCGACCCACCATGGAAATAAAGTCTCCAAGTGCGTTTTACCCACAACCCACTCGCCCTCGCAAGTTATCGAAACATGTAGAAAGCATTATCTTGAGTTTATCGGTCGCTTGATTGAGCCTCTTCCAAAAAGGCTGTGGATGACCGCTCACTGTGAGCTGAAGAGGACCGACTTGGTCTCCCAAACAATATTGCGTTCCCCAATTCCAGAAAAAATCGTGCGCTTCTTATAGATCTTTTCAAACAAAGGTTGCATGTTTTGCTCGTCTTGCCATCCGGGTTCAGAGTCATCTTGACATGCAGCACATGGACAGCCATTTCTGAGGTGCTTCGAGACCAAAGAACCCTTCGAGAGAAACCCAAACCTCTTCTTCCTACACGACCCCATACCAGATCCATTTACCGGCTTCCAACTTGGTCTGCTTCAACCCTAAGTAGGACGACAAGGTGCGCTCCGCTTTTGGGGAAAACAAACAAAACGGACCAAACAAAGAAAAGGAAAAGGAAACAAATAAACAGAAAGGAAAACAGGTAAAAAAACGGAACAAAGGAAAAAGCTGAAAACGCCGTAGCCTGACAAGGTCTCCGTTCGCACCCGCATCATCTTCTTCGGGCTGTCGGGCCGCGCGCCCGTTCCGCCTGATCCTCAGTGCAGTGGAAAAGTGCTTGGAACAATGGGCTTTGCAGATCTTTGCAGGTATGTTTAGGTGTTTTTTCTGTGCCTTTTTCGCACGATTTTCAGCAGTGACAGGTAGTGTCCATTTACAAGTATGGCCAATATTTCTTTTTGCACTTGTGACTGGTGGAAACACGATAGGAAGTCTGGTGGTTGCCGGTGGGCCCAAGTGTGAAGCAAGGGCACTCCCTCTGAGCCTCTGAGCTAGGTAAATCTTGAAACCCTAGATTGTCTGACAACAGCCGAGTCACTGTCTGTCAGGTCGGGCACGCGGCGCGGCGCCGCGATCCTCGGACGGTCGATCCAAGGTGGATCTCCGAAATGAAGGTCCACGCGCATGATTCCATACACCCGTTCGAAGTTGAGCAAAGAGACGATCTTTGGCATCACCGAAGTGTTCGGAAAATTCTTGGACTTGGGTTCAGGCTGCGCGTCGTGGTGAAAGACCGTCCGTCGTGGTGGTTCAAAGGATCTAAAATCAGAGTGTCCACCAGGACACAATGAGCCATTAACCTTCTTCAAAGTGACCTTTTTGGAGTCTCCAAGTGAACAAAGTGACTAGGCCTGTGACAGTGACCGAACCGACTCAGGGGATCGAGTGGTTGGTCACGGCTTGGAAGGAACCAAACATGGAGTAGGACATGTACCACTGCTGCCCCAGGGGCTTCGAGTCCGGACACACCCTTTGAGTCCGGACATGTGCACAGACACGACATGCGGCACCCCTTCGATTGCTGCAGCTCATCCAAGAAGAGGTGCTCCCAGGTAGCTCACTCACACCGTTTTCTTCACACCGCCGAGTCGTCCGACTTGAACCGCGCTCCAATTCGTCCATCCACCCAGGACATTTCCAGTGACGAAACACTTCGAACCTCGGCCGAGAGGGGGTCGGTCATTTAGGTTCTCCTGAAAGTTCGGTCACCAGGAAGGTCCTAACAAGAAGCTATTAGAAACAAGTGCCACGCTAGTAGTAACAGGTGCCTTACTAGTAACAAGAAGCTATTAGAAACAAGTGCCACGCTAGTAGTAACAGGTGCCTTACTAGTATTAACAAGAAGCTATCAGAAACAAGTGCCACGCTAGTAGTACCAGGTGCCTTACTAGTATTAACAAGAAGCTATTAGAAACAAGTGCCACGCTAGTAGTAACAGGTGCCTTACTA